CTCTTCGATCCAGTCGAACCGTTGTTAAAATTTTAACTAAATACTTGGCAAACTCGTATTTATCCCGTTGCAATTAGTTGTTGTGATGTAAATATCCACTTGTGGTATTTCGATCGGCATAAAAACAAATTCGCACTTCCCGACAAACTCTTGAAAGTTTGTTTCCAAACGGAGATATCGACGGAAATCTAACCAAAAATACAAACTTTGTCTACTGGAGAGCATGAAGAGGAAATTATATTATCACTCTGTGCTATTTTTGTAGCGTTTTCTTCATGTTAGCAAACTACTTTCAGCATTGATATCAGAACACATAGTGTCTGTTTTGATCGGGAKTCGCTGATTGCTTACACAGTAGCTATCACTTGATTGGTCGTGGCTGTTACGTGCATACAATAGGGAATGGGATCTTCCGCTCGGGTAAGCAACCTCTTCTTTTGGGAGGGACAGGGAGCCCGACAAAAGGGGAGGCTTCGAAGGAGACTATACATTGCGATAAAGTATTTTATTTTTTGATTTATATAATTGTGTTCCTGGCAAACGTTTTTATGGTAAAAAACGGCTTGTATAACTCTATTACAATACTTTTTGGCTCTAAGGAATTTTATTTAATTCCTTCATATGGGTAAGGGTTCATGATCCAGMTTACAAGGATAAGAGGGATTGGCAACACGAATCACTTCTAATATATGTATTTCACATATTTTGTGCAACTTATTTTCATTCACTTATTTATTGATTTTATAAATAAGGACCCTGTGCAATTACTAATTGATTTCCATTATTTTACTTATTACACTATCTATATGCAGCAATATTCGTAAGTTTACATTTAACTAGCTCTACACGTTATGTGTATTGAGCACTCTTTAATGGGATCAGCCACTTCCTCGTACGATTACGTTTACATTTATATTCTAACGTGCAGATAAGGATTTCGATCTATGTCCACTGTAACCGACAAGTGAAGATATGTCGTCTACTAGACCGACTACCCTTACTTTAGAATTGAAACCGAAGCCTTAGTTAAAATAATAGCATTTTTAAAACACATATCAGTCTAAAGATTCTACTGCTCGAGAAAAAAAGAAAATCGCATAATTTTATTACAACAAACTAACGATATGTCTACGTAGGGAACGCATTTTGAAGCAATAAAGTATTGGGTTGAACAGAGAATTTAAGAGCATAAAACATGATACTGTGATATGTATAATTACTGCTGTTATTTGTGTTTTCCACGATGCTTCTAGGTTGTGTTTTTTCGAGGCRAGCATCACAACATGTGGCGCGTAGCAGACAATGAAAAGTATGTGAACCCAAACCATATTACGAGATGTTTTCCTTGTCTTTGCTATTTGTAKGTTGTCRGTGTGCTGGTTTATCTGTACTTGTTGCTGTTGGATTTGGATATCTATACGATGGCGACGAAGAGATCGATATATCAACGAATAGCTAACAGTAGAAATTATGAATCCWACAATAGAGGCACTGAGAAAAAACCACAACATAACGTCTAAACGAAACCAAATGTAAGACAATCCGATAAAAGATAAAACAATCCAGCAAAACACCAACAGACTAAATACTCTCGGAACGGTTACTATACTGGGGTATCGCATGTGGAACTGAATAGCTATTACTCGGTCAACACTTATTATAGTAAGAGTTAGTAGCGAAAGAGCAGAAAAAACGCCAGCGAAGTTTCGTGTTAATATCCGAACATTACAAACAAATTYTAGAGAACTCTGAAGTTGAGCAACTGAGATGGCGAGAAAAAGAGGCAGCGTCACKGTTCCKGTTCCAATATCAGTTAGAGCCAAGCTACAGAGAAGCAAATTACTTGGTGTACGCAACGCCGGAGTCTTGCAAATAGCGACMACAACCAATGTATTCAGAACAACAATGGGTGGTATCGTCAGAATATTGAGTACAATCCTAGCTATATGAACACCAATAACTCCATGATTTGAGATTCCAGCTTCAATATCTTTTGTGCTTAAAGTCAAATTTTGGTTAGAGATGCAGTTGTTTTCCATTTTCTTGCAGTTCTAAATCCAATAAGTATAATAAATTTTCTTCAACTCAATTCAACTTCTTAACTTTTGCACTCTAAAAGACATATAACCATCCAAGAATTATACGTAAAGTAGGTATAAAAGAATTGGTCTTGAAGCGTTGTAGGTTGCGTCAAGTTACTTATGAAGTTTTATTGGGCTTGCTTTTCTATCGGTTGAACCGAATATAGGGTCTCAAGTTAAAGCCCTTGAATCAGTGCGAGCTGTAAAAGTTTAAAAGCCAATTTCTCGCGATTTCCAAGTTAAAAAGTCATTTTTTCGCGTACTTCAAAAATGAGGATCGGAAATGCGTCACAAGATTGATTTGCCAATTCAAAAGCCGACTTCTTATGTCAGGCAAAAATACCACGAAAGCAATATACCACCTAACAATTCCACAAGAACATGAAATGATTGCTCCTATTCTACAAGGACTTGATGGAAATCAGAAGAGCATTTTCTTAGTGATTCTTGAAATAATCAATTGGTCACTTTAAAGTCAACGTAAAGCGAGTCAAAGCTTTTGAGTGTATACAGGAAGCGAGACAACAATACTGATTAAGCAGTTTGAAACCAGCCACAATACATAGACTTTTTCTATGCTATATATTTGCCTCAATTAGAGTASAAACACTAAAACTGTGCAACATGAATACCACTAAATACTGCTAAATTATGCTAATTCTATTGTTTTCTATTATTTAATCAACACTATTTTGTAGTAAATAGTACAAAGTGTTGCACACATTTAATATTTGTACTCTAATCTGAAAGTATTCTTTAAAAGTGCGAAAATAGTGCTAATTAAACAATAGAAAACAATATAGTTAGCATAATTTAGCAGTATTTAGTGACATTAATGTTGCACAGTTTTAGTGTTAACTTTGTACTCTACTATGTTTACCAATGAATAGTCCGCAATGTCACCATATCATATCAGACCATAATTTTCCATATGAATGTAAGGACCGCATTGCACTATGAGACACATGATATAGAGATAAAGGAAAGTTATAGTGCTGGAAGGAGGTAATTCCGGGAGAAAGACCCTTGGAAATAAATTCGGAAAAAAATAATTTCTTATTTCGYTGCGKGTTTTCGAACCCACGGCCATCGGATTGGTACTACCGATGCTCTACCAGCTGAGCTAMAAAGAGCAKGTCGGGATGAAATACATGTTAGGTTGCGGTAATAAGAATGTAAATATATGAATGCAAAGAGCGYATGGCACTTATATGTGATATATGATTATTTTTTATTATTATTTTCCGTGTTCTCCTCGCATGAGTCAATTTTGGCGGAGCTCAAGTCCTTATCTGAACTTGTCGAGGATGGTTTTGAGGTGCTTCCTTTTTAAGTCCTAGAAAAGCTTATAGTCCCTTCCTGACACTTATATGGAGTGCACTCGAAATGTCTTGTGCAAAGCCACATGCATGAAATCTGCATAATTTRTTTGGTTTCTTTAACTTGAAATGGAATTGTAAACAAGCGCTTTGCAGGAATATATCCTAGAGTTGTTACAAATGAATTATATATATGAGCAACCCTTATAGCTAAAGGCAATTCAGGCGGAACCCCATTTAAGAAGTCTTATCTGGAAGACCTTTGAGAATGACTTCGAGTTATTCCCGTTACAGAAACTTGTGGAAAAGCGTAAAGCTTAGGCCTGTTTGAGAAGTCGATCTTTTGCCGCGTCTAATCTAATTGCGTAAATGCAGTTCTCGAAATGTTTTCAGTTTAAATCGAATGATATATAACTAGACGCTTGTAAAGCGTGATGCGGGCTAGCTTAGCAATGCATTTTAGATGGTATGGGTGCATTCTTAAAATTTTAATTGTGTTTTTATTAGCCTTTCTTTCGTACAAAAGAAATCTAAAAATTGAAGCAAAACAAAGCTCAATTTCAGAACTTGTACTTTGTCATTTTCAACTAATAAAAAAMCCCGATGATATTAAAGCAATTTATTTGAATTTGAACAATGAAAACATTGTCATTTAAGCAGAAAAATAACCAGTATTTGAGCTGATTTCATGTTGAAACTGTACTGAATATTTTCATCGAGCTGGACGGTGAGGACGTGAGGAAGGCGGGACTATTTTCGATGCAAAATCGTCTTAAAATGATAACTAGCAAGCTTGAAACTTCACAAATACAAAATCCTAGTTCAATTCTTCAATGAGAAAGCTTTTGGTATTYCTTATTGATAGTTTTTGATAGTTTTTTTTTTTCATAGTTTTGTGATCGTCGAAGTATCTGCCATTTTGGATTCTTGAGAAAATTTTCAGTTCGAGAGAGACTGCAAACTAATAGATATGGCTTCCTGTGGTTCGAGATAGACTGGAAACTGCGACACGACAGATACATAGATAGAAAAGGTTGAACTATAGCTGGCTAGCCATAGCTAGCCCGCTAATTAGGGATTATACTAAGTTTGTCCAAATGAACAAAATCTTCTAATGTCAATAAAATTCAGAGTACAAAATGCTCATAAACTCAACCGCCCACCAATTAGATTAGACTCGACAAAAGATGGACGTCTGAAACGGGCTTTATTCCTTGCATGGACCCCKYKGACATCATTTAATATGATGGAGTCATGTAGCAGTGTGTAAAGCGACAAAGAACTCATTGACGATTTTAATAATGGCGGACAGTAATTAGCATATWGTCGTTATAAACTCATAATGCTGATAAAAGAAAATTAAACACTGAGATGACAGATATCAAAGCTAAATATAGGTTTTGAAATATTCACATAAAAATATGTTGTTTTTTTTAGGATTTAAAAATCCTCTTGAAGCTATAAGGGCTAGAATAGGCACAAAAACACCTTGGTAAGCAAGGCTGCCAATGATTAAACAATTTCATACAAATCTTTCTATCCTCCATAACTTTCCACAAATGCCTAATTCTGATTGTCCTTACATATGACAGTGAGAAAAGATGTTCCCATAATTTTAATCAACTGCATAATACAATCTCAGTAATATTTATTTTTCACAACACTTTTAACACCAAAAGCAAAGATGAAACATTACATGTGTTATTCCCAATTATTTTTGAACTATTCTTTGCAGAGCTGCAAACTGAGCCGTTGTTACTGTGTTCATTCGTCGTTCCCACATGTATGTGTATATTTCAGCCTATACACATAGTTAGTATGCTGAGCACCAACACACACATCCTTGTTGTTATCATCGCACTGCTTGTAGTTCCCATCGACGCATTTTGTCTTGCGAGACTCTATTCCAAGCTTTTTGTAGTCACCTTCGCCGCTCCAACATTCACCATAGAACTGAAGACCAAATATTTCGTGTCCTTTCTCTCTGGCTATAGCAGCACATCTACATGCCAATCTACAGGTGACATACAAGAGGTTCAAAAAATTAGATCTTAAAAGTAAGTACTTACGGTCTGGACGAATGATGACGTGCAGACGTCAAAGTGGATAAACTGTATTAGTTATACTAGAGTTTGATTGTATATTTCTGGTATAAGGCCCGTTCACACTGGCAATCTTTGCGTTGATCATTTACTCAGGACAAATCAACACAAGTTTAATCAAATTGTAAATTCTTTTAAGACTATCATTTTTGTCAATCTCTATCAATCCCGTACTGCTGACAYGRACAGAAACTTGCGTACGCGCGAGAACCCTTTCTCGGTCCATCAAAAAAGGGCTCGATGAAAAATGGACTCGATGGTATTCCATTTTTTGAAGAATCTTTGTAATGTTATCTGTTGTTGAGAGTGTTTCAGATTAGGTTTGGATAATACTTTTTTATTAAGGGACTGTGCAATAATTACCAGGAGGGGGAGGGCGTAAAACCAGA